TTCCTGCTCTGCCGGTGCTGGAATGAAAGGTGGGGCGTCAGCTCCCAGCGCCCTCCTTCCCTCCTTCCTTTCCTCCCTCCCACCCTCTGTGCTACAAGCGCATCTGCAGAAACTCCCATGCAGTCCTGTCTTAACTTTTCAGTTTATCTGGACCCTGGCCTCTGGATGGCCTTGAAAACAGCCAGAGGAGGTGGGGCCCGTCTGCAATGTCCCAGGCTGCTTTGGTTCTGGCCCACACACACACGTTTTTTTTTTTGTTTTTTTTTTTTTTTTTTTTTTTTTTTTTCTTGCGTTATGCGGGCCTCTCACTGTTGTGGCCTCTCCCATTTGCGGAGCACAGGCTCCGGACGCGCAGGCTCAGCGGCCATGGCTCACGGGCCCAGCCGCTCCGCGGCATGTGGGATCTTCCCGAAACGGGGCACGAACCCGCGTCTCCTGCAACGGCAGGCGGACTCTCAAGCACTGCGCCACCAGGGAAGCCCCCACACACGTTTTTTTAAAAACAGGTTTCAGGCTCGCCTGAGAAGTGAATGCTGAACCTACCTGCAGTGATTCCACTTATCCAAGCACCTCCCTTGGGCCACAGCAGCAGGAACTGGGTTCCCAAATCCAAAGTAATCAGAATTCCTTAGGACCCTCTGTGTTCAAGAAGTCCTACAGTTTATGCCCTCAATTTTAGCCAAATGTTACCACAAGGATTGCTGTACCTTTTCGAGCTGCTAGCTTTCCCCGAGACCCACCTAAAATAGACTGACCAAAGCAAATCTCAGTGTTTAATGACCCTTTACGTTTGAAGGATTTAAAGAGGAATCAGGACATCATCCCAGCTCATTTATCCTATCTCAAGACAGTTTGCAAAGTGCTTTTATCTACACAACACTGCCATGAGGCATTCCCATTTCACCAGTGAAGACGCTAAGAGCTCAGAGAAGTGATTTGCACAGCCAACAGGTAGCAGAACTGGAACTTCTTTGACTTTTTTTTTTTTTTGGCCGCACGGCATGTGGGATCTTAGTTCCCCAACCAGGGAGGGATCCAACCCATGTCCTCTGCAATGGAAATGCAGAGTCTTAAGTCCCCTTTTTTGACTCTTAAATCTAGTTCTCTTTCCACAAAATAATAGCTAATGTGAACAATCAGACAGAGGACTCTCAAGGAAAAGTTTTTCCTAATAACTTTTTTGTACCTCTGATTTTATCTGCCATTTTGGGGGCAGCCATCTGTCTGAGAAATCTAAGGAGTTGAGGACTTTAAATGAGAAAAGGTGCCTCCTTGTCTGGAAGGACGATGGGTAATTGTTACAGGTTAATGAAGCAGCGTGGAAACAGCAGTAGGAGGGGGATGAAGATTACACACACGGTTAAGAAATCTAACCTAGAACAGAAGAAACAAATTGCCCTTATGCCTGGATTAGCAATCTAGAAACTCTTTAGTGATTCATAAAATCTCCTAGTGAAATGCTGGAACAAAGAAGTTTCCAGGACGGGGAGGAAGGGGCAAGCTAACTAGAAAAAATAAAACAGCATAAAGAGGGAAGCAAAGAGAAAATTCCACCAAGAGAGCGGCAGATTACGGAAGAGGAAGAAAAGCAAAAGAGGAGAGAAAAGCAGCAGGAGAAAGATGTCATGATGATGGAGCAAAGAGAGGTAAACGACAGCAAAAATCAGTCCCCATTAGAACTGAGAAAACAGGGGCTCCCCAAGTGAAGATCAGCGGTGTCCCAGCATGAGTGTCCTGGGAAGAGTGTCCCTGAACACAGAATGTTTAGCTCCTTTGTCAGCTTCTAGGTCGGAAATGCTGGGGAAACATTTCAAATGGTGATAGGATAAAAGAGCTTTTCTGGTATGTAGGTCCAAAGAGTTCAGCTCCAGGAACCTGAAAGAAAAGGAGTTAAGGAAACTTGAGCCTCTTTGTTGGCTTTCAAATTGCAGGGCAGTGCGGCTCTGGAGAGGTAAAGCCTGAGGTTTTGAAGTCTACCACAAATTGCAAACTTTGGTGAGAGGTAGGGTTACCAAAAGGCTCAGGGATGCAGTGAACAGCAGCATGAGAGGAATCGGGGTGGGAAGGACTGAACAAACTGCCCCTTTGTCAGGAGGAGAAGATTCCCCCCTCCCAGGTAGCCAGAAGCCCTGTGAGCTGGCTGCCAGCACTGCTCTGGGGAGTCAGCCGCTGCCCAGACCCCATTCCTCAGCAGAGTTCAAGTTCCTGGCTGTGTGCCCGGCAACACCCAATTCCCTCCAGTTAGCAGGAGAGTCACCCGGTTCTCCTCCCTGCGTGGGGAGGGGAGAGGCCAAGGGCTGGACTTGCTAAGTAGAGAAAACACTAAAGAAAAAGGACGTTTGTCCCTAAGAGTCCCCAGGATGCCAGTCAGCAGGAGTCTGACCAGAGCTGGAGGCATCTGGGTAAGGCCTAAGTTACAGTTCAGTTCGTATCTGGGCAAATGAGAGAAAAGGAAGAGGAGTTCTGGAATTTAAAGAGAAGAAAAGTGAAGTTTTCAGAGACATTACTTTCTCTCTAAACTTTTCCAGAGAAAAATTCTGATTGTCATTAAAATTCGTGGCATACTAAGTTTTGAAAGCACCTCATCTGTCCCTTCCCCTACACATTTCCTAAAAATATTTCTAATGGATACCGAGACCTTGGTCAGTAGGAAACTCACTGGGGGCTCAGAAGACAAAGAGGACAACTGGCCTGTATCAATATTTGTAAAAATTGTTTTCTTAGCATCCTAGGCAAAAAATGTTTTTTTTCACCACAAGATGAAAATAGCATTCTGTGAAGCAAGGAAAACAAATAATTTAGCTCTTGGGGTGGTTCAAATAAAGTATTTAGTTACTCAAAAGTTTTGGTCCATATGTCTTTCTTACTAGAAGAGCTTTATGAAATTTTTGTTATATGCTAGGCTAGAAATACAAAGTAGAATAAGAAGGACTTCTTAAATTAAATAAATAAAATTTTTTTTTTAAGTAGAATAAGACATTTCTGCCTGGGGGGAAGAATCGTCTAAAGAGGATTGGGAGGTGGGGTGTGTATGTAAGCAAGTAGTTACCGTATTTGTGACTTTTGAACCAGTCCTAAAAGGCTGAATAGAGAGGAGAGAAGAGAAACAGATGGGTGGGATGTGGTATCCACAGGAACCTGCAAGCAATTCCTCAAATCTAGTGCATAGGGAGGAGTGGCAGTTCAGGAGTCCGGAGAGAGGTTGGGCCCAGATGTTGAGGGTCCTCATTCGCCATCTGAAGGTGTATGGACTTGATCCTGACAAATATATCCGTTGGGAGTAGCTAACATGTGACCAGAGGAGAGAATCTGGTATTTCCCAGAACCATAAAAAATAACAAGGTATAACTGAATCACTTTGCTGTACACTTGAACATGTAAATTAACTATACTTGAATTTTTTTTTAATGGTTAAAAAACAAATAAGGAGGGACTTCCCTGGTGGCGCAGTGGTTAAGAATCCGCCTGCCAGTGCAGAGGACATGGGTTCAAGCCCTGGTCCAGGAAGATCCCGCATGCCGCGGAGCAGCTAAACCCATGCACCACAACTACCGAGCCTGCGCTCTAGAGCCTGTGAGCCACAACTACTGAGCCCACGTGCCACAACTACTGAAACCCACGTGCCTAGAGCCCATGCACTGCAACAAGAGAAGCCACCACAATGAGAAGCCCGTGCACCACAACGAAGAATAGCTCCCACTCGCCGCAACTGGAGAAAGCCCACGCACAGCAACGAAGACCCAATGCAGCCAAAAATAAATAAATAAAAACAAATAAGGAGGGAAGGCCTTGAGACATCAACCACCACATACTCAACCAACTGTCTCATAAGGCCCCTGGCCTAGGAGCCAGAATGAAAATATAAACTTATTACGTGTTTTCAGAAGACTCAGACTCCCAGCCTTCCCTAACCAACAAATCCAAGCTATAGCTCCTTTGTTTGTTTTTTCTAACTTCCTCTGGTTTAGAGACCTTTTCGAAGATGAGAGAGAACGTCAAGAGTCCTAGATGAGAGGTGGGTTCTCAGCCCAAGGAAGAGGTGTGTTGCCTTGGGTCCTCCTCCTTGCCTCAAGATTCCTACAGATAGTCCAGGGCAAGTCTGGATCTGAGACTGAGCTCTAATGGCTTAGTAAAACCATGGGTAGGAATGCTCTCCTACCTCCCCACCTCTTGGCAGCTTATATGTACACTTCTCCAGTAAAGCCTCAGACTCCTTTCTTAATTATAGAGGAGAGGCATCATAATCTTATTAAACAGCCCAAGGAAGAGACTCTGAAGTTTAACCCTTCATATTCTAAAGAGAAGTTAGATGGATTTGCACAGGGTTGGAGAGACCTGAGTCCAACCTGCATAGATCCAAATCCAAGCTTGGCCACTTAGTTAGCTGTGTGACCTTGGGCACTTATTTAATTCTCTGTGCCTCAATTATCTTACACGTAAAATGAGAATAGTATCTGCCCCATAGGTTTCCCCTGGTGGCACAGTGGTTAAGAATCTGCCTGCCAATGCAGGGGACACGGGTTCGAGCCCTGGCCCAGGAAGATCTCACATGCCGCAGAGCAACTAAGCCCGTGCACCACAACTACTGAGCCTGCTCTCTAGGGCTCATGAGCCACAACTACTGAGCCCACGTGCCACAACTACTGAAGCCTGTGCGCCTACAGCCTGTGCTCCGCAACAGGAGAAGCCACGATAATGAGAAGCCCGTGCAATGCAATGAAGAGTAGCCCACGCTCACCGCAACTAGAGAAAACCAGCGCGCAGCAACGAAGACCCAACACAGCCATAAATTAATTAATTAATTAATTAATTAATACTATCTGCCCCATAGACTTAGTATAAGAATCAAGTGAAATGCTGTATTTAAGTAAAGCTCCATGTGCAGTGCCCATAGAAAACGCTCAGTAAATTTAGTTGTTTGT